ATTGAAATTCTCTATTCACACGACTGATTTTCATCCTCTTTTAAAAAATAAATTATGAAATTAAAAAAAAAACACATTTGTTGTAGCGGATAACTCAGGATTACGGTAAACTGACGTCATTGTTTCTGACTCAACAACTTCTATGTTGTTCAGTTTTTCATTGAATTTACATGATATTAAACCTGTTTATTGGTAACATTCTGCGTAGGTATTTGCCGTTGCCCGTGGTTCTTTAATTTGAGGAAATTGGTACTGGAAAGTCCTTGAAAGGTCCTTGAATTTGATGTTGACCAAGGTGTGGGAACCCTGGAGGAAGGTGGCAGGCTGTGAAGTTGTGTCAAGAGAGATTACAGTCTGGTTGGGGCTAGTTGGTCCAAAAATGTCTGCCAGATGTTTTGAAAATACTTTGTCTATCATATCCAATCTGGCTCTCTTCATATGCAGTACTCCAATTAACTCTGACACCCATTCCACTTCTGATTTGCACAACCTTAAGATCAGTCTCATAGCAATAATCGCTCCAGACAAAAGCGGCCTGGACTGAAAGGCCACATTTAAGAAGAAACAAAGAGTATCCAAACAAAATCTTACTAAAATCAGGCTTAAACACACAAACATTTTGAAAAAACACTATTTGTCTCAACAGAAATTATACACATTTTAACAAGTCCAAAAAGGTCGTAAGTAAAGTAGTAAAGTAATGAAAGAAGGCTCAAGACATTTGCACAACAGTATAAACTATAAAAAGCACATCTCCTAAAGCCAAWATGTGCCRTTCGCCAATATCAAACTGTCATTCRATCAGTGACAACCAGAGCCTGTCCTAAATGTCACAAAGCGTTCACTGACGTGCAGTTTTGTCTTTGCTTCGGCTGCAGGAGGAAGGTTGAGATCATGCACACACACAGTCTGTTCACGCTGCTGGGGGAACGGCTGATGATGCACACCAACACTGTTTCCATCACCACCTACAACACTCTGTATGAGGTAGGTGAATGTTGGGCAGCGGCTCCACACAAGCTCACGTTGGATCGGTTGGATCTGCCGGAAATGCAAGTGTTTGTCTTTAAACTGCGTCTGCATGAAACCTCTGTTTGTGCAGATCCTGACCGAGCAGGTCTGCACTCAGGTGGTCCACAAACCCCACCCTGAGCCTGATTCCACTGTCAAGATTCAGAATCCCAGTAGGTACCAAAATAGTCCTCAGCTGCTTCGCTTTTTTTTCTGTCTCTCTTTGCTTTCGCTCTGCAAATAACACTGTTTTAATGCGAACAAACAGACAACAAAGCCTGGATTTAAGGCCAACACTGCTGCTCACATCACTCACAGTTTCCTCTCTCAGGAGGCTTTTTTTGCATTTCCGCTTGTCCTGTTTTCCTCCTCATTCCCCGTGTTGTTTTTCTTCATGCCACCCAGTGATTCTAAAGGTTGTGGCCACCCTGTTGAAGAACTCCACCCCGAGTGCCGAGTTAATGGAGGTCAGGAGACTCTTCCTCTCCGACATGATAAAACTCTTCAGTAACAGCCGTGAAAACCGCCGGTAAAAGCACTCACACTCACACAGACCCGCTTTTACCTGCAGTTGTTCCACTTTCTGTCATTATGTGCTAACAGTGGAGGTGTCCCGATACCAGTTTTTCTCAAACCAAGYATGAGTACTTCAGTTTGGGTACATACCGTCAGGCCTGGCTCGATAAGTAAATAATCAATGAATCGCATGATAAATTAAATTATGGCTTGTTTGTTGGTTTTCTTCTTCTCCTCTTTATTTCTACTCCATAGCATAGGAAGGAGTGAACTCTGGCGTTAGGTATTTGTCAGGTACATGGTCTCTAACCTCTGTAGCATGAGAGCCCCATGCCAAACCTTGGTTTTACAGAGAGTTTGTTTATTTTTACACTATGTAAATTTTGTAAGCTTCCGTAAACTTCGTAATCAGCTAAGGGGGTGGGTGAACGCAATTGTTTTATGAAGCCAGAGGAAGACGTAAAGATAAAAATGTGCCGGCTCAGATAGAGGAGRTGGGTAGAGATGTTACAGCTTCAGTTTTGTGTTGTTGTCACAAAATCTGCTCCCGGTCCATAACTTTACATAAATTTCCAAACAATAGTATCGTTTATCGCAGGGGTCCCCAGACTTTTTCCTGTAAGGGCCACATAACTTTTCCCTTCTCTGGTGGGGGGCCGGAGTCAGTTTGTAACAGAAAAAGTGTGATTATTGCAGGAGTGCCTAAATGTAAAAATTAATTGTTTTTCAGAAAGCAAATAACCCTCTCTGGGTTCTTCACAGTATGTGTTCTGCTGAGCTAACAG